ATTTATTTGACAGAAATCACAAGTAGGCAGAGAGGCAGGCAGAGAGAGAGGAGGAAGCAGGCCTCCCTGCTGAGCAGAGAGCCCGATGCTGCGGGGCTCAATCCCAGGACCCTGGGATCATGACCTGAGCTGAAGGCAGAGGCTTTAACCCACTGAGCCACCCAGGTGCCCGGATTATACATTTATTTTTTGCCCATGAGCACATAACTCAGGCCAGTGGGGAAAGCTTCAGGTTAACAGACTTCGGCTCAGTGTAAGAAAAAGCTTCTGAATCATTAAAACTGTCTAAAATGAAATGAATGGAATGAATTACCTTACTGAGTCACTAAAGATGTGTAAATCGAGTGCAGGGCAACCCCTTGTTTTGGGATATCCTAGAGGGAGTTCATGCCTTGGGTAGAGGTCTGCTCAAGGCAATTTCTAAGGTACTTTTTAACTCTAAGATTCCAGGTTTCTGTAATATGGGGATAATGATAACTCTCAGTTACTGTGATGAATAAGTAAGGCCATCCATGTAAGAAGTTCTTGAATGTTGCATGGGACGCAATTAGTACTCACTAAATGTTCTTTGTGGTAGCTGTAAGAATAATCCTTTCCCTGGCCTGGTACAAGCGAGATAATGAATACAAACATGCTTTAAGTGTCCTTCAAGTCCTTTACAAGAATAGGAGATGCGGAAATCCGTATCTGACATCTGGCAGGGCACCACTGGGACATTCTGCTTCAATTTATTCACTTACAAAGGGCTTGACTTTTTAACTTTTTTTCCCAAGTAGGGAAGGGCCTGACTTACCTGCATATAGTATAGATAGGTTTGACTTGGCCACAGAATGTGATGATTAGGTTCACACACTTTGGGGGTTCCAGCCCAGCTTCCATTGGGAAGTGGTATCACCTCATAAGCTTCAGTTTCCTCTTCTGGTAAGTAAGGGTACTTATTTTTTATGATTCACCACAATAACGTGTTAAGTGCTTGTCACAGAGCCTGGTACCCAAGTGGTCAGTTAGCAATAGCTTCTCCTGTTTTTATGATCCTTTCCCACATGCTGTGAGGGAAGTTTGTAAAATGCTTCTTTGAGAGGCTTCACGGTTGATTGGGAGAGGGCCTTTCTCCTGTACCTTTGAGAGACTTCCTTCTGAATTAGTTCCTGGTTTGTGGTGTAGACCAGTGCTCTTTACAGAAACAGAAAATGGCAGTAAGAATAGCTGTGGAAGAGAAGCAGTGATAGGACCCAAAGGGAATCCAGTCTGTGACCATCAGTAGAGAGAGTCCCACCGCATCTCTGATCTCACTGTGGCCTTTTAAGTGCCCATGAAAAGATCAAGCAGTGTTATAAGACACAAACAGATTCTTTTTTTTTTTTTTAAGATTTTATTTATTTATTTGACAGACAGAGATCACAAGTAGGCAGAGAGGCAGGCAGAGAGAGAGGAGGAAGCAGGCTCCCTGATGAGCAGAGAGCCCAATGCAGGGCTCAATCCCAGGACCTTGAGATCATGACCTGAGCCGAAGGCAGAGGCTTAACCCACTGAGCCACCCAGGCGCCCCCACAAGCATATTCTTAATAGTTCTGTATTGGATTGTTGTCCAGGGGGCCCTTTGCCCTGGAACCAGATGCTGCACAGAATGCCATACGAATGCTTTCTGAAGAGGTTACTAAACTCCAGTTCTGATATCGGCAGACTAGGGTCAGCCACTTCCTAAACAGACAGGTTCCTTAACTTTTTTTGAGATCTCCGTTTTCTCAGTTACAAAAATGGTAATAGCTGTTGTATCCACCTTTGGGATTATGAGAATTATGTGACACAACACAAAGCACAGTACTTAGTTATGCTCAGTACTCAGTGAGGTCATAGCTCTGAAGAAAGAGAAAAAGGGATTGTGTGGTTCTTCTAGATACTGATTTTTAAATGAGAAACTTGAAATTCTTTGTATCTAATCTAGATTAGATTTTCTTTTTCACAACATTCCTTGTTTGTTCTATTTCTAAGCCCTTTCAGCATCTCAAGCCCAGCACTCTAGGAAATCCCATCCCACACAGAGTACTATTGCTATGCCATTTATTTTGCCTGTTTGGCCTTTCCTGATTTAGTTTTTTAATTCTCTATTATAACTTTGCTCTAATGTTACCTTGAGTTTCCTTTGCATTTCTTTTTTTTTTTTTTTTAGTTTATTTATTTTTCCTTTGCATTTTTAAAAGGAAAGGAAAAAGAATGGTTATTACACGAGGGCCATTTTTTTTAAAAGATTTTATTTATTTATTTGACAGAGCTCATAAGTAGACAGAAAGGCAGGCAGAGAGAGAAGGGGGAAGCAGGCTCCCCGCTGAGCAGAGAGCCCGACTCGGGGCTCGATCCCAGGACCCTGGGATCATGACCTGAGCCGAAAGCAGAGGCTTAACCCACTGAGCCACCCAGGTGCCCCCATCAGGGCCATTTTTATATTTTAACCAAATTTCTTTTAGTTGCAAATAACAAAAACTCATTGACAGTTAGCTCCAGAAAGAAAAAAGAAAAGAAGGTATTGTGTTACAAGACGTAGGAAGTCAGTCTGTCATGGTATGCCAATTCACCCGTAGTTAGGAAGTTCATCCAAGACTTAGAAAGGCTTGGAGGGGGGCCTGGGTGGCCCAGTGGGTTAAGCCTCTGCCTTCAGCTCAGGTCATGATCTCAGGGTCTCTGCTCAGCAGGGAGCCTGCTTCTCCCCACCTCTCTCTCTGCCTGCCTCTCTGCCTACTTGTGACCTCTGTCTGTCAAATAAATAAATAAAATGTTAAAAAAAAAAAAAAAGAAGAAGGAAAAGAAGAAGAAAGGCTTGGGAAGGTCTATAACTAGGAAATACAGAGTCCTCAAGAACCTAGGCGATTCCTCTTTCCACGTGTATCTTTCTCTGTTTCCCTAGTATCTGCTTCTCTTTGCATACCTGCTATTTGCTGTGTGACTTTGGGCAAGGGCCTTAATATATGCCTGTTTACCTGTATGAAAAAGATACTGTGTATTAGTTTCCTGTGCTGCTGTTAAAAAATGCCACAAATTTGTTCTCCCACAGTTCTGGAACCGGAAGTTCAAAAGTAATGAGTATCACTGGGTGAAAAGGAAGATGGGCAGAGCCACACTTAGAGAATTCATTCCTTGCTTCATCCAGCTTGTAGTGGAAGCCATTCCTTGGCTTTGGCTACCTTCTGCCTGTTTTCACATCACGTTCTCCTGTGTGTGTACATGTGTGCGTGCATGCACGTGTGTGTGTCCTCTTCTTCTGTTTATATCAAATCTCCCTCTGTCTTTCTCTTGTAAAGACATGTGTGATTGCAAGTAGGGCCCACCTTTATAATCCAGAATAATCTCCCAGTTCAAGATCCTTAATTTGATCACATCTGCAAAGATCCTTTTACCTTACAAGATAAAACTTACAGGTTTCAGGGATTGGGACCTGATATATTTGGGTGGCCATTATCCAGCCTACTACAACTAGGGATCATAAAGACATCTCAAAGTTGGCATATAATAAACGTTGCCTAAATGGTAGTCTCCTTGCTTCTCTACATTTCTGCTATGTATACTACCATGCTCCTCCTGTAACATTGCTTTCAAATCTTTTCTTTTCTGGAATGTTATTATCACATCAAGCATGGATCTGTTAGGATAACAATGATAATGAAAATAATAGCTGTCATTTATTAAGTGCCCATTGTAGCCCAAGCATTGTGTTGCATACTTTATGTATGTAGGTACCATTATAATCCCCATTTTACAGATGAGAGAAACTAGATTCAGAGAGGTGAAGTAACTTAACTTGCCCAAGGTCAGTCAGGTGGTAGGTATCAGAACAGGGGTTTAAGTAAGGATTTCTCAAACTCTTAGGGCTCTGTTCTTAATCATTATATCTTGCCTGTTACTCAGGAACGTGGTTCAGATCTCTGGTTTCTTGCCTTGGCCTCTGATCAAAACCTTTTCTTGGAGATTTCTTGTACCTGCGGGCAAGATCTGACATCACAGATCTGCATTTTTTTGTCATATGCCTGTTATTTGGCAATTGCTTGATCCTGAGTAAGTGAAATTTAAGGGAAGAGGAAATCAGAGCGTTATATTCAGCCTGAATTTCCTCTTTGACTAACTTGTTTGTTACGAGGCAGTAAGTTTCTTGACTGTGGGGATCATGATGATTTATTTCTGAGTACCCAATACCGAACACGGGGCCTGGTCACAGAGTAGATGTTCTGCTGGAACGTAAGCGTCCCCAGGGACTTTCATTCACTGCTGTAGCCATGCCTTACAACAGTGCGTAGAACAGAATAGTTGTCCAATACCTATCTGTTGAACAGGTGGAAGACTGGTTGGCTGGCTGTGCTTGGTTAGAACTTCTTCACTGGCTAATAATTACAACTTTCATTTACTAAGTGTGTGCCATTTGCTGGGCACTTAGTTAATTATCAGTAACCCTTATCTCCTTTCTACAGGGTAGAAGTAAGTGATGGGCTGTGGCTGAGGAAAGTGAGGGAGATAGAGGAGTCGAGGATATCGCCTAAGTTTCTGACCTGGATACTGGTCCAAGTGATGATTAAACCCAGGGAGGGGAGCATGAGGGTGTTTTTTTGTTTTTTTTTTTTTAAAGATTTTATTTATTTGTCAGAGAGAGAGAGAGAGAACAAGCAGGGGGAGCGGCAGAGGCAGAGAGAGGAACAGGCTCCCTGCTGAGCAAGGAGCCCGATGCGGAACTTGAGCCTAGGAACCTGGGATCATGACCTGAGCTGAAGGCAGCGCTTAACCAACTGAGCCACCCAGGCGTCCCATGAGTTATTTTTCTGAAATAGGCTGTGTTTGTGATACCTGCAGGTAGATGCAAGGGTCTGTTCCTAGGACGAAGGCTCTAAAAATGACCCCTATTTACCAGTTAGCCGGAAAAGAGTGATATTCTTGATCCTCCCAGAACAAGTTTGCTTATTTGAGAACTGCAGGCTTAAAGCCATTATTTCCATGTGTTCTAATTTGAATATGTTCAGTTTCTGTTCCAGATGATCGGGCTGAACAACGAACCTGTCTCATTTGTGGGGACCGTGCCACAGGCTTGCACTATGGAATCATCTCCTGTGAAGGCTGCAAGGGATTTTTCAAGCGGAGCATTTGCAACAAGCGGGTATATCGGTGCAGTCGTGACAAGAACTGTGTCATGTCTCGGAAGCAGAGGAACAGGTGCCAGTACTGCCGCCTGCTCAAATGCCTCCAGATGGGGATGAATCGGAAGGGTGAGTGGTGCTTGTGGCTCGACTACCCACTTTACCATCACTTTACCTTTAGGGTTAGCTATTAAGCCTTGGAGTTTTTCATTTCCCAGGTCTGCACTATATGCCAGGTCTTGTACCGTGTACTCATAACCCCAAAACACATTTGACACAGTTTCTGCCTACAGGGATTTCCCAGACTAGGTGGGGAGAAAGACTGGGTGAGATGTTACAGATTCTGTGAGAATGAATTCACAGGCTCCAATTGGCAAGACCCCATTTAACAACCACGTCCTAACTCAGATTAATATACTCTACTAGTTCTTCTTTCAAAGTATAATGACAGGAAGTGGGGATTTTAGATGAAGAAGCAAAAAGGCAGTATGTCGCTTGAATGTGGTATCATTTTGCCTGCTACAATCATGGCATACTCAAGAGGCTAGGCATGCCCAGAAATCTGCAACCAGGTTGGTGAAGAATTTGGGATTTATTGGAAAGCTTTCTGAGAGCTAACAGCCTGAGATTATGTGAAAAACCAATATTCTAAGAGGATTAACCCAGGGGGCAGGCTTTGAAGAATGGATTGGTGTGGGGAAAGCAGAAAGGCCACCTAGAAAGTTTTTAGAAGAGTCCAGAAGAAAGGTGTGAAGAATCTGATGGAGGCACAGGCAAAGTCATGGCACAGATGGGGAGATGTGGGAAAGCTTACCTGATAGGAGTTGGTAACAGACTGGGTATTGGGCAGCATCAGAAGTTGAAGTTGCAGATTTGGAATAATAGTAATGGCCCCACCAGGAAAAAAACAAAAAACAAACAAACAGCCAAAAAAAAAAAACCCTACCAGGCTAAAAAAGCAGGGTGGGACAAAATGTTGGCCTTGGCAGTACGTTGTTTGAGGTATCTAAGGAGGACACATACAATGTCCATCAAGGAATTTGGGTACGTAGGACTGGAACTGAAGTGAAAAGTCCTGCCTTGAAGTAGATGTTTGTGGAACTGTTCGCAATCAGATGGTAAAATTTTGTTAGTTAGTAGAAATCACCTAGAGAGAACTTGGATACAGAAGAGGAGAGGGCCAATGTCTGAAACTCCGTGCTTTCATGGAGGGTAGAGAGTAGTACAGTATAGTTCAGTAGAAAGAATGGAGGCAGAGGTTGGTGACAGACTGCTCTGTGACCTTTGGCAGTTTGCTTTATGTCTCTAATGCTCAATTATCTTACCTTTAAAATAGTATGATAATACTTAACCTTTTCAGAGTTTTCTAGAGGATTAAATATGACAATGTAGATCTACTCAGGAAGGTACTAATAGTAGTGTATAGGGGTAGGAGTTAGGTTTAGCAAACTATCCAAGTTGGATTTGTCACATTAATACATGCAGACTATCAGATATTCTTCAGACTTTTTTTTTGCTATATGTGGGATAAGAAGGATCTTTTGAAAATTTCCTCATTATGAAGAAAGGTACGAAAGTTGTAGAAGGGCATTAAGATAAATTTAGGTCATTTATAATTTATTTATAATCCTAATATTTATTGATTACTATTTATATTAGAAAACTCTTATACACTTTTCATTCATTATGCCATTGAATATGCACAAACCTATTATTAAATACAACACTCAGTTTAGGGGCACCTGGCTGGCTCAGTTGGTAGAATATTGCAGTTCTTGATCTTGGGGTCATGAGTTCAAGCCCTGAGCTGGGTGTAGAGATAACTTAAAATCTTTTTCTTTTCTTTTTTTTTTTTTTTTTAAAATTTTCCTTTTTTTTTTTTTTTTTTTTTTAAGATTTTATTTATTTGATGGAGAGTTAGAGAGGGGACACAAGCATGGGGAGTGGGACAGGGAGAAGCAGGCTTCCCCTGAGCAGGGAGCCCAATGCGGGGCTCAATCGCAGGACCCTGGGATCATGATCTGAGCTGAAGGCAGTCGCTTAACAACTGAGCCACCCAGGCACCCCTAAAAATCTTTAAAAAAATATTACCCTCAGTTTATAGATGCAGTTTGGGGGGTGTAAAATGACTTACCAGTAGATAGGTTAGTGGTGATTATGTTGATAATAATTATTAGTTGTAGTTTGTTATTAATCAAGCAGAGCTTGTACCTAACTATCCACACGGACAACATGTCTATCATATGGCATAGCTACTTGCGTGATGGAATGCCCTGTGTTCACTGGATGATAAATACCTATAATAGAGGATTTAAAAACTTAACAACTTTGTCCTGTATTTCTAGTCTCATCTTCTGTCTGGAACTTTCTTCCTGTGCCTCAAGCCTGCTTTGCTTTATCCTGCCTGTGCTCAGGTTCTTTCCTTTGCCTGAAAGTCCTCTCCCTTCCCCACTCTTTCCCACCAGTACCAAATAGGTAATGCCTGAAGAGATGGTCTGTGGGTATCTACCCACTTTCATCTGATTTGGTCTTGGTCTCATTTTCTCATCTCCCTTTGTTGTTTTAGCCGTATTTTATCAAAGCACCTTTACGAGCTGCCTTCTTGACTACTCTCTGAATATTCATCCTCCTTATTCAGTTGGAGTGTTAGATTCTGGGGCTTCTAACCAAACTCTCTTATTTCAGGGAAGAAGAAGCTTAACTTCTTAAATTCCTGTAGCCATAGCCAGGAGAAGATGACACATGGAGTGTGGGGGTGGGAACTAACTGCCTTCCTGTGTCCATTTTCATGCATTACAAGAGGCTTACTTGCCTTCTAAGGCTGCCTCTCGGAGAGAAACCCTGCCACCTCCTGGTTGGTGCTGAGAAAGCAGAATTAAAATTACAGTTGCCACTGGAATATTTTTGGATTGGTGGAACTGTCCCGTATGGAACTGTAGCGTTTGACATAATTTTATGCATTTGTCAAAGCCTGTAGAATATATACCACTAAAGAAGTGAATTTTACTGTATATAAATTTGTTTAAAAGCAACCAGTATAAAATCTTTAAAAAAAAAAATTTTTTTTTAAAAAAGGGACGCCTGGGTGGCTCAGTTGGTTAAGCAGCTGCCTTCGGCTCAGGTCATGATCCCAGCGTTCTGGGATCGAGTCCCACATCGGGCTCCTTGCTCGGCAGGGAGCCTGCTTCTCCCTCTGCCTCTGCCTGCCATTCTGTCTGCCTGTGCTCGCTCTCTCTCCCTCTCTCTCTCTGGCAAATAAATAAAATCTTTAAAAAAAAATTAAAAAAATTTTTAAAAAATTAAAAAAAAAAAAAAAAGCAACCAGTATATGGGGAAAAGATAGACTGTAGACTGTGACCAATGAATCACATAGCTACACTGAAGGGAATGGGAGAGAAAGGATCTGACCTTGGGAAATAGTGTTTTAACTATATACTGTACACTGTAGGGCTGAAGACAAAAAACTGTATACAAACAAAGCTCTCTAGTTTGTAAATGTATTTCTCTCAAGGTTATGGGTTGGGAATTCTGTCACTACTTTATTTGTATACTAGAGCTGAACAAACAAGTGAATATACTAATGATGAGAGTTAGGTTCCTCACATCAGAGAAAAAAGTTATAAATCAGGAAAGGGGAAGGCTGAACTGAAACCTCTGGTGCTTGATTGGAAGCATCAGTATGTACTCAAGTTTAGGAAAAAAGATTTAGAAAAACCAGATCTTGGTTTCCATATATCAGTAAAAGCAATAAGGACTCTTTGGAGAAGGGGTTGATTTAAGCATTGAGGCAGGGAAAATATAAGAGGAGCCTAGAGTGTTTTTCTGATGCCAGAAAGTTAGAATGTGCTGTATTTTTTAAAAAGGAGGGGGCAGGGCATTATCGAAAGGTCAGAGAGGTCAACCTAAAAGCACTTCCAGTAGCCAAAGTTGGAAAAACTTGAGCAACAAAATAACTGTGTATTAGTTTATTACCCAAAGAATGAAATATCCATGAGTTCATACTGACAGAACTAACTGAATAAATAGAGGAGTGACAGTTCTTTCTCATAGAAAAATTATAAGTTTAGAAGGCTTGAGGGAAATAGAAAATCACCATTAAAAAAAAAAAAAAACAGTAACATTGGGGCGCCTGGGTGGCTCAGTGGTTAAAGCCTCTGCTTTCAGCTCAGGTCATGGTCTCAGGGTCCTGGAATCGAGCCCCCGCATTGGGCTCTCTGCTCAGCAGGGAGCCTGTTTCCCCCTCTCTCTGTCTGCTTCTCTGCCTACTTGTGAACTCTTTCTCTCTCTCTCTCTCTCTGTCAAATAAATAAATAAAATCTTAAAAAAAAAAACAAACAGTAACAATTGCTGTAGGCAGGATTGACTTATGGATGCTAAAATAAGATAGCATAGTTTTAAACAGAATGAGAGTATTTGCATAGCCCCAGGATATTTAGTAATTACAAAGGGAAAAATAGTAACTTTCAGTAGAGAATTCTGACAGATAGCACTTGAGCCAAGCAAGCAAAGTCAGTATCACCAGTATATTTACACTGCTGTCATATGTCCCCTAGTATGATAACAGTAAGGACACATAGACACACAGGGATGGATTCATTCCCAGTCTACTCATGAGGAAACAGGCAAACCCAAATTGAAAGACAATCTTCAAAATAACTGACATTTTTTTTTCAAAGACTACATTTGACAGAGAGCACATAACGCACGCACACAAGCAGGGGTAGTGAGAGGGAGAGGTAGGCTCCCTAAGGGTGCCTGATATGGGGCTCAATCCCAAGACCCTGGGATCATGACTTGAGACTAAGGCAGACCCTTAACCAACTGAGCTACTCAGGTACCCCTAAAATAACTGACATTGTGCAGAATATTCTCAAAAGTGTCAGGGTCACAAAAGACAAGGAAAGACTAAGAAAGATTGAAGGAAACTATGGAGACATGACAACCATATGCATTGTTGAATCCAGGATTGGATTCTGGAACAGGAGAGGACATCAGTGGAGAAATCTGAATATTAAGTTTATACTTTGGTCAGTATTATTATGCTAAAGTTAATTTCTTAGTTTTGACGAATAGTCTGTGGGTTATGTAAAGTGTTAACTGATGGGGAATCTGGGTATAGAGTATATAGG